GTGTCCTCCCAAAAAGGCCTCGTACTAATGAGCTTGGTGGACACTAATATACAAGGGTTCCTTCCCTTGTATTTCCGATTCCGATGTGGTACTTGGATTGTCCATAACAATCCTCTCCTCAAGTCAAGGACCACGAACTTCGTGTCCTCACCTCAGCGATTATCTTGGTCCGCCAGACGCCTTGTATCGATGGGCTTCTCAGTACAAGGACTTTACCAGACGCAGAACTCTCTTTGATCCGCCAAGCCCAAACTTGGATCTCTCCTGGATCGACCAAACAGACGCGAATCACCTTTGACCCGCCAGACAAACGCATATCTCAAATCCTGAGGTCACCGAATAAGGGTCCACCAAACTGACGTCCACCGCCCCGGATCCGTCGAACCAGGCTCTGATACCACTTGTCAAACTGGGGCTTCTCAATTAGTACGATATTGTCCGCTTTGGGCCAAGTCTGCACGATTTTACTCTTGGGTGTCCTCCCCAAAAGACCTCGTACTAATTGGGCTAGGTGGACACTAATATACAAGGGTCCCTTCCCTTGTATTAGCGATGTGGTACTTGGATTGTCCCATAACACTCTCCATTTGTGCCATTTTCCGTACCTAATCGCATGTATCATCTAAAACATCCTAGAATGATGACATAATCAAATAATAACGAAATAGAGATGCAATTGGTGTTATACTTCCGATTATGCACACGAATTAGTACGAAACAAACCTAAATTTGAAGGGCAAATAATACCAATTTAAGTGTTATCAACGGTCTCCTCTCGCCCTCTTCCCGCACGAGCTCTAGATCAGAATTGGTCAGTGATCTGACCCGATGTGCTCTAGGTTCCTAACTAATGTGGAGGGGTATTTGATCAACCATGTACGATTACAAAGAGCCCGATCAAGCATTTGGTACAAGCTGCCCCCGCTTCCAGGTGAATCTTGGACTAGTGAAATTGGCATCTACCAATCACAATCAGCTACACATTGCCTGAAAGTCCACTCCACCCATCCGGTCGTGAGGGCTTAGGATGGCGTTGAAGTCTCTGGCCAAAATCCAAGGGAGGGAGGCAGCAGCTGAGATACGACGAATCTCATTCCATAGGTCAACACGACGCACATCATTGGGGCTACCATACACTGCTGAGACCAATATCTCCGAGTCTAGGGCCCCGCTACGGGCATATCGAATGTGTATCATCTGCTCCTCGTCGAATAGGGGTGTGACAATCATGCTTTGCTTCTGCCAAAGAACCTTGATGCCTCCCGGGTGACGTACAACATCCACAATCAGACAGCCATCAAATCCTGTACGACTAATCACACTTCTCGTGCTAAAAAATGCAGACAAGGTCGGGTCTATGTGACCTGCAAAAATCCATAAAAAGGAATAAAACGATAATTTCTTGCCCCTAACAGTTCTAAGCTAAGATGTTAGATGTCTAACATAATAAAAATAGAGAAAGACAGAAACTTCCCGAACCACAGCACAGCCGAACCAACCCTTAAGAAGACGAGAGGAGGGAAGCATGCTTCTCCCTTGAAATACCATTACCACTCGTGGATTTTGAATTCTCCACTAATGATTAACTCGTGATGATGGGGACATGCCCCCGTTAGATTGACGTGAATCGATCTTCACTCCCCTACCTGCCTTCATATTGTTTAGAGCTCATCTGTGTGATCTTTCCTTTGACCCTGGAGGAGTGGTTTTGTTTCCCACTAGCTGTTGATTCACTGGTAATCCACATTTTCGTCATGTGTTGTACGAGAACAATACTGAAGCCTATTGGGACCTCCACCAGAACTTTCAAAGCGGGCGCCACTTTGCTAGCATCATGACCCGCACACCTTCTGTCCTTGACATGTTGAAATCCGGAGGGCTCGCCTCACGTGCCTGAATCCCTACTAAGGTTGGATTTCCAGCCTGCAAACCGATCGACTCCTCCATCCATTCCATCTCCCTCACAACTTGCTTCTCGAGCTCCATTTCCACGACTTCCTCCTCAGTTACTAGAGATGAAAATCTCGACCCTGAAGTAACCTCCCTGCTTTGTTTACTCGAGGCCATCTTGGTATTCCATTGACCATGTTGATTAGTTTTCTTCCCATAAGCAGGTTCCAGCTTCTTAGGCGGTTCCTCCACGGTCGGAGGGACAACTGGGTTCGTGGGCGTCTGGGATGCTTGCGGAGAAAGGTAAGACACATTGCTTTTGCATGCCATAGCAGCCACACTTCGTACAAATGTTATGAAGCCCTTCATACTCAATGTAGTATTTCCTTCCCTCAGTGCGGTAGCTTCCTTGCAAGGGTTTCGTCAAATCAACTTGCACGCAAACTTCAGACCTTCCAATGTGGTGAGAACGCAGTCCTCCCATGTTGCTCTGCTGTGTGTATAAATTTTGTATTGCTGCTCAAAATCCCTTATCGAGCAACTAAAATGATCCCACTCGAATTGGAAACACTTCCGTGGGTAATCTATGTGGCTTGACTCATCTTGTTACGCGATGCAAGAGAGTGGGGAATTCAGCAGTGGCCCAATTAGAGTCGAAGCCAGTAGAAACCTAGTTGCCAGCGATGTTAACCAGTATTGGCTTTCTCACCCACTCAGCAAAGGCAAGGCAGCTGGGAGGACTGCGTTCTTCCAATCCCAGCAACCATAGGCAATCGCTTCATGAATTGAAGGTCTGCTATCAACAACACAGCCTATTCACACAATTTAGGTAGCGCATAGCATATTTCGATCTGCTAAATACATAAATAAAAACAAATCAATAGCAAAGCCTAAGTGACAGACATCTCCAAATCTGCAACACACTGCCGGTGTAGCTGGAAAATACCATGGATTACACTTTATAAACTCATTACATGCCACTTTGTATGTCTCGCAGTACTAGCAGAAAGATCAGAAGACAACTGTATAAAACTCAAGCCTCTCAAGTGTTGCAGCATCGTATTGATGATTCGACTTAGTTCCCTGCATCTTCGACTAGTCTTTCCTGAAACCAGGATTCACATGGTGTAAGACAGTACATTAGGGTTTCGGCAGGAATCACGGCGAACATGGCAGAGGGCCTCAAATGTGCACAGCTTGAAGAGAGCAAGTTAAGCTGAACCAAGAGTTACCCATAGAGTTCTTCCATTGTTTCTTCCAGGCGATTAACATCAGCACCCACAATTTCAGCTGCCTTTTTGCCATTTTGATAGAAGTGGAGCGTTGGCTGGATAGCAGGGAAAATTCGATATTATATAGAAATCACCACAAGAAAAAAGGGGGAACACCAAAGATGCAGATGAACACGCAAGCCTGCCTTTATGCAGTTGAGAAAATAAACAGATAGACTACACAGATAAACAAAGGGTGGTTGTTATTGGCAGAATTCAAATATAAGCAAAATGAGAGACTGCCAAAAGTGATGCACTAATGACCAGCAGTGAAAAGCATATAACGGCAACCACAAATTCTCCTACGAAGAGCTATGGCAGGAACTAACGGCTTTCCAAGTTCATACAAACATGATGATTGGAACTAGAAATTGACATTGAAGAAATACTACGCAGCAAATAAGATCCCATCCACCTTGAAGGCAAAAAGAATTATGTCAATCAATATATGAATGGATGCGAAAGAACAAAAAGGTACTCATCCACCAGTCTTCTTATTGACCAGAGTTGAAAGGTCCTGAAAGGCTTTTCCACGGCCACTACATTATGCACTTCATATAAGTGTTACCAAATTTAAGATCGAGTATGAGATATAGCAAAAGCTGTGTGCAGTAGATCCTAAATAAAAGCAAACAAAAAGTACAAAAGGGCAAGTAATCCTACCACAGAAGTTATAAACAATCTGGTCAGCACGCTGTTCAAGCCTTCCTGCAGAATGATAAGCAGCACAAGTTTACAAAGGTAAACCAGGTCATATGAGGAGTTGTTAGACATTCGCTGTTACGAGGAACTCAAACTATACGCGACAGGTACCTGATCAATGTCGATCTTGTAAGTCGGTACATGAGGGTATTCCTTGCTAAGTTGGGTGACGACAGGAGATATAAACTTACCTGCAACAAATATTAACAGGAACCATATCACGAACATGTTATGCAGAAAAGAATCTGACACCAATCAACGAAGCCAGCTAAACTTGTCTAGACTGAGGTGGGTTCAGAAAATCACATGGGCCACACCACACAGCGGTAAAGTAGTAGACTGCTGGCAACGACTTATCTGTTACAAAGACGAACAGATTTGACACAAATTGTTAGTAGCATGAAGCAGTCGGCAACCCTTTACAGCAAATGAAGGAAAACAGCTGACCTTGAACGTCTTTGAGAGAGCTATTAAACTCTTCTTCAGTCTTAATCAGCACTACGTTTGATGAACCTGAACCTAACTTAACAACGAGAGTAAGCAAAAAGAAGCTACAAACTTGGCCAAAAAGAAAATCCCCAATCAACCAACGCGAAAAGAGGTTAACGAGGTGCACCTGCCGATGAGCTGAAGCTCCTATTGAACTGCAGTGGAGTTGAGGCATGGAAGACAGCTGAGGCCGTGGCTGCGGTGGCGAACGAGGGACTGCCGACGAGGAATTTCCAGGATATAGGAGCATTTGATGAGGAGATTAGGTTCGCCAGGGGAGCAACGGTTTCCCCGAGAATCGGCGGCGCGGAAAGTCCGACCAGATTCGAGGCCCCCCGTCGTAGAATCGTTCCGATCACTGAGCTCCACTTCATCCTCTCCGATGGTGATTTCCCTTGCATTCGTGTCGGTAGTTGCGATTTACGTTCGCGGCCTGTGGGGAGCAGTTGTAGGAGTTGGTATCGAAGTTGGAGTGTTGGACCCTAGCCCAATTACATATTGGGCTTTGAGAATTCGACTCGTGTCATTTTCATCAATAAATATTTTAGAAGGTCCGGTCGGAACTGAAATATCAGGACCGAACAAAAACTGATAAGACTCTTGTTTTAGCGGTATAAAAGGAAATCACAATATTAGTACAAAATGTATTATTATTGACTTTTCCAATATAACTTTCGATATGTTTCACAATCATTTATTCGTATGCGTTGGCCAATTCAGTGACTTCCATTCAACGTTAACAAATTACTGGTTTTTTGACAACATGCAATGAATCACAAACGACTAATTTGTTCCCTCTATTCCCCAAAATCCACAAGGAATGACTGACAACAGAGAAACATGATTACTGCTAACGAAGAGGTGCATAGCTCGTTTTGCAAAGGTAACACATTTGGATTCAAAGTGACGATGGCATAGAAAGGGCTTCGATTATCTGGCCTTCCAATTTGTCCTCGTCAACCCACCCCGAACTCTTCCGCTGTAACAGCTCCTTAGCACTCTTTTTCTTCTCTTCCCTCTTAGCTTCTTTCATTCGCCAATTCTCCAGCTTCTCCGCTCGCTCTTTCAACTGCATTCACCACGATCGACCAACATATCAAACATCCAAAACAATAACACACCCAATGCCAAACCGATCGATCGAACAACATATCAAACATCCAAAACAATAACGTGCACAATGTCAAACCGATCGATAGTTACTCCGTCTGTGCAACAAAGTGCACAACATCCCAACTCATCAAACTTTTTAGGCGATGTAAACAACTCCTCTTTGGAGGACTCAAATACAGAGTCAGTCTAGATTCGGGAATCTAGTAATCCTTGTAATCCACCCTACCAATGTGGAAAACAGCTATGCCAGACAACTGGTTGCCGTCTGTTTCACAAGCCATAGACAGGAAGGAAATAAGTTGTTCCACAAGTATTAGATTCAGAAGACATAGAGAGAGTAACTGCGAAAGATGGGGGGGGGGGGGGGGGGGGGGAAACACAGGCACAACCCAATTGGTAGAAAGGATGCATAGATAAGCAAGCAACAGATGCTAAAAATGATTGCTGCCAATATTGAACTCTTCAACAAAGTAAACACAGCACCAAACATGTGACTGCTGCATACTTGTAGTGATGAGTGCATAGAATATCAGCTACCATGTTTCACTATGATCATCAACTTTTCTCTCATACCGCCATCAATCAAGAGCAAATATAAATCTCAAAACTTTCAACTGATACAGGGCGGCTCATTATTGGACATCATTTACTCCCATTCCCATCCTCAAAATTAACAAGATCAAAAAGAGGGCAGCAGAACGCTTATTTACTCTTGAAGTTGAATCTCACTGACAGAAAGAGACTCAAAGCCGTTGATCAAACAACATCAACTATTTTGCATCATACAGCCAGATACTGAAGACAAGCTCTTTGCCTCATTCCACCAATGTCTTACACTCACCTCTAAACCATCTGAGACAACAAAAAATGTCACCTAAAGACCTAAACAACGAATTAACTCTAACATCAGATTTCCTCAACGTACAACCCATGATTTCCAACGTATTTATTCAGAATTCATTCACTAAGTTATTGACAAAGAACCCCAAATCGACTTAATAGAAATTTTCTACACGGATCTACTTTGATCTAGACTGAATGTACTAGTTCAACTCGACTCTAGGCAACCAAGTATGTCGACAACTCTTAACATCATATATCCTCAATGTACTAGTTCCCTACGCATTTCTCGCGAAAGTCTAATTCGTCCTCTGAACTAGTTCTCCGTCAATGAATTCAAAGGCGAAGTAGGGTTTGACGGAAAGAGGACATACCAGGGTTTGGCGGAACTCCTCTTCAGCAACTTTACGCTCTTCCGCTCTAACCTTGGCCGCCTCAGCCTTCAGCTTACGGCGCTCCTCGTTAGCGATCCTGATGGCCTCTTGTCTAGCTTCGTCCTTCCTCTGCTTCTCCATGCGCATGGCCTCCATCTCCACGATATATTCCTTGCGCACCTCCTTCACTTGCTTCGCATACTGTCTTCGCAACAGCGCCAGTCTCTTCTCCGCCTCTTTCGGATTCTTCGGCGCCTCCCAGCTTCCCAAGAAAGAATTCGCCTCCAGGTAATTGTGAGTTTCCTTGTGGTTGTTTTTGCCGGTGGCGACGGAGGAGAAGAGGCGGCGCCCCGTACGAACGACGCCACGAGCGGAGGCGGCAGTGGCCATTTTTGGGGATTTCGGTGAAGAATCGTCTACGAGACTAGAGACTGAACGAAGACAGAATGATCTTCCTATTCCTTCTTTACCAAATTGGACTGGTTGGGTCGGGTAGGTTATGAGCTTATCGGAGCTTAATCTGCAATTAAAATGAAATGTTAATAATAACTTAAAGCCCAAAATAAACATACATATAATTGAGCAACAATGACACAAATATTGTTTTTAAAAAAAAAATTACCACCAATATGGCAGATTAAAAAGTATTGACAAAAATATTGTGTTTTGGAAAAAAGAATCGGCGAGACCACCTGAGACTCAGGCGCTGCCGCTTTTGCTGACTTCTTGGATCGTTTTATTAATGTGACAGCGGCGGCGCCCAAGACTCAGGTGGCACCGCCTGAGACATAGGTGAGTTGGTGGGGAAATTATCCGAGGCGGTGGTGCCCAAGACTAAGGTGGCACCGCTGGCTTATTGGCCACCCCCTATAAAAACCAGGCAATTTCGTTTCAGTTTCACACCACAAAAAAATCGTCCAAGATAGAGGAGAGAGCTCTGGTTGCTGCTGCAAAAATGGCTAATAGGTAAGAGACACATTTATTTTTGTAATTATATTATTCAAATGCTATCATGATTGCGTTAGTTTTAATTAGTGAGTTTGTTTTTTTTTTGTAGTGATTTTAGAAGATTTGAACTAGTCGTTCGGTGGAAATCGGAGAAAGTAGAGGATAATTTGGGCGTCAAATTCGTTGGTGGTAGTAGTTTTCAATTGACGGTTCCATCCAGGGTCACATATCATTATCTTTGTGAGAATCTAATTCCGAGAATACGGCGTAGAGACGAAGCAGTACAAGATAGTGATGTGATCACAGGTTTCACTTACCGTCTTCCAGAATGGCAGAATGGTGTTTTATTTCATTATGCGATGCCTATTGTGGATGATGATAGCTTGAATGTGCTTTGGAATTTTATGACACAAAATCCTTATTGTTTGGGTGCTGAGATACATGTTGAGCTCAGTGAGGATCAGGGTGGACAGGAAGAAGATGATGCATGGAGCGTGCCATCCGATCATAACTATGATGACGGTGATGACGGAGAGGAGGAAGATGAGGAGCAGGAGGAGGAAGAGGGGGAAGGAGAGCAGCCTAATTATCCTCCATATCTTTACTTGTAGAGGAATGAATAGGACGAAGAATTATCACTTGCTGATTCATATGGCGTAATTCCAATGCCCATTGTTGATAGTTTTGAAGGAGAATTCTACAAGGGGCAGATATTTCACTCGGAATAAGCTGCACAGATGGCGATTAAACACCACGCACTACAACGCAACTTTCAATATGGCGTGGTGGAGTCGTCACCTTTAATCTGGAAGGTCAAATGCTTGAGGCACAAGGATGACAATTTTCCTTGGATGGTGCGGTTTGGATGTCGAGATGTTGGAGGCAAATGGACTGTGAGAAAGGCTGAGTTGGTGCATTCTTGTAGCAGTACGACTCAACGACGGATCATCGCCATCTTGATGTCGACATGATATCTGAGGCCGTAAAACATTTGGTACGTGCCCAACCAAATCTGAGTGTTCTAACTGTGCAGGCCGAGTTGAAAGATAAGTTTAATATGCAAGTTACTTATAAGAAGGCTTGGTATGGGAAACAAAGAGCATTGGAGAAGTTGCATGGAAATTGGGAAGAATCCTACGATTTTTTGCAAACATTCTTGCGGGTAGTCAAGAGAAAAATGCCAACATCGGTGATTGATTGGGTAAGAATTCCTTCGACTCAACCAGGTCATTCGATATTTCAGCGAGTATTCTGGGCTTATGGACCTTGTATAGATGGATTAAAGAATTGTCCAGGCGTCATGGTTGTTGATGGAACATTTCTTACTGGGAAGTATAGAGGAGTGCTACTCATGGGGTGCTCATTTGATGGCTGGAAGAAGATTTTTCCAATTGCATTTGCCATAGTGGAGAGCTAGAATACTGAGAGTTGGCCATGGTTCATAAGGAACATTCAGGGTTTGACTGATCGAAATGATGTATGCATCATCTCAGATAGACATGCAGAAATCTATGAAGCCATGAATAACATCGGAAGAGGTTGGGAGTGGAGGTGGTGCATGCGACACTATGCAAGCAATTTGCAAAGGAAGACTAAAAGAAGAATTATGTATAAGCAACTATTTCGAGTCGGTAAGCCTTCTTCATTTAATTTTGTTATTTATTTTCATGTAATTTTGTCATGAATTTATCTAACCCGTGTTGTTGTTTATTTTGTTAGCTGGAGAAAAACGGTTGGAGAAGTTCGATCGTCAAGTTGAGCAATTTAAGAAGGTGGCCACTGACAGAAATATTTCATGTGATAACTGGGTGGATCAACATCAGATTCGTTGGAGTTTAACACATGATAACTACAACGGTGGGCGTCGTTGGTCTATCCTGACATCCAACATGCCAGAAAGCATCAATGGTGTTTTCAAAGGTATTCGTGCACTTCCTATAGCTTCTCTTGTGCAACATACCTATTGGCGATTGGTGGAGAAATTCGATATGTACGGGTTGGAGACAGGAGCAGAAATTAGAAGTGGTCCTTCACAGTACTCCACCAAGTGCGAAGAGCTGATGAAGACGTGGTCACAAAAGGCAGTTGGACATTCTGTGACAGCTCTTGATCGACATCAAGGCCATGTTTCCGCCTCCCATCGTAGCATGATGCGGTGTATGGAAGCTATCCTCTGGCTGATAGAAGCTCGAAGACGGATCTGACTGAAACTGCTGTCGAGGCGGAGGCTGAAAGCTCGAGGAAGGATCTGATTGAAACTGCGACTGAGACGGATTAAACTGGAAGCTACTCGTAGTAGGCCGGATGGGCTGTGCTCGTTGTCGATCTGAAATCCGGACCGGGTTAGGTACATGACGATGCTCACGTCGCTGTCTACGTGGACTATGCTCATGTCTGAACTGTGGCTCTGGGACGACCCAGCCCGGTGTCGGATCAGTACGTTCTGGCCAGGCAGTCATGACAGACTGATCATACTGGGGCTGCACAGGTACTGTGAGATCAGGGTGTCTGCGCCACTCCAAACCTAGAGTTGCAACCCCGGATGCCATAATGTTGGCCAAGTCCTCACACTGGTCGGGGGTCAACCCTCCACTCCGTGCACCCTCACGTAAAATCACACTCAGCATGCTCAATAGTGTCGTACTAAAAAACACAAAAAAGTCAGATATTTCACACAGTTAACAAATTCAAGACAAATACAAAAAAAATACTAACCAATACCTCCCGTGCATCTCCTCTCCGTGTGCCGGAACGCCTGGTGACATCTCTATACCACTCGATATGCTCCGAGTGGTAGGCTAACTCCTCATCAGTGTATGGAGTCGTCGCTACGAACTCGTGTCGACGGTTCCAGAAAGCAAGCGACTCTCTGGAGGCGTCTATCAACTGCTGCCCACGCGATGGCCCATTAGTAGTCTGACGAAGAAAAAACCTAACCTCAGCCTCAGGATGTGGCGGATGAGGCTCATGCTGCCTCATGCCAAACTGCCGGAGCACGTGGTCTAGATGATGCCACATCACCGATGAAAAGCAGATAAGTGGCATTACTGCTCGAAATGTCTCAGACTGTATCACACTACCTCTGAGATGAAGTGCTCTCTCAAGGTAAGGTTGCCACTACATAAAACAAATTAACGTTATTATCCCTAAATCTAAAAAAAAAAAACAAATGAAACTATTCTATAAAATGGAATGTTATATACTAACCACCACGGTGTCCATCGCGTCAAACCACAGCTTGTACTGGAATAGCTGGTCACCATACTGACGACTGTTGGCCAAAAGCTATCGAAGACAACGTGGGGATGCATCCTCGGAAATCTGTGCCCTCGTCTCTGAATGTCGAGGTGCCAGATGTGGGAATCGCTCCCACGCCCAGAGCTGCAGTAGGGCGACCCATCCACCAAGGTCACCGCCTAGAGAAGTGCCGAAATGCGTAATGTGCAAAGTTGACCTACCCATTTCACAGTACAAGTAGGATAAAACAGCAGCTCCCCAGGGAACTGTCCAGCTCTCTGCCAATCCTCAATCAGAAGTAGGTACTGTAGGTGCACCGTTGCTCCAGACCGATCCAGGAAAAGTACACCTCCCATCAGAGATAGAGCATAAGCTCGTGCAAACTGCTCTATAACCTCCTGTAATGCATTTCCCGGCAGATGAATGAATTCATCCCTCAGCCAAACATTCCTAACGAACCGACACCGCCTGAAAGATCAACTGGAACCCGTCCTAACAGTCTCAAACAGATCTCCGACCACTCCTCATCCGGTATATCAACTACGAAGGCATCACCGTCGATCGCCAGACCGGACAGTGTAACAACGTCCTCTAACGTGATCGTGATCTCACCAAACGGTATATGGATGGTCGACGTCTCGGGTCGCCACCGCTCTACGAGCGCAGTAATCAAACTAGCATCGGAGTTCATAGGGACCAGGGGCACGACACTTAACAAGCCTGCCGCTTCGAGATATGGCCGATAAAGCTCATGGTACGTCACTAAACTGGTCGTACCTCAAACATGGTAAGATCGATCACCAGCCTATAGTGCACAAAACTTATATTAATTCATTTTCATTCGTAATAATTATAATTTCACCTAATAAATTCTAATCTATCTAATCTAATCTCAAATTATACTAATTTCAAAAAATTTGATACGTAATCCTATTCTAATTTCAGTACAGTTCAGTTCACCAACTAAAATAATCTAATTAGCTAATTAACTTTACATGAATAATTATCAAATACTTACCTCGTTTGTCCAAACAGAGTCGAGACGATGTTGGCCATGTCCCCAAAGAAGTGCCGGATCGACCGGACCTGGATCAATTGTCGCCGGCGGTAATCTCATCGAATAAGGGTCCATAAGCCTAGGAACTGCAAAAACAAATCAACAAAACATTAATTAAAAAAAACACTAAACATTAAAAAAAAATCCAAGCCGCCGCCGGCGAGAGTCTCACCGCGTAAACGACCGCCGACTCCACCACGACCTCGCCGGCCTCTCCCCCTGCCTCTGCCGGCGACTGGTTCTTCGTCGGAGGACTTCTCTGTCGGGCGGGGGCGCTTCTGTCAGCTGCGGCGGCGCTTCACTCGGCAGCAGCGGCGCCTGGCTCTGAGGCGTCGGCGCCTTGGTCCTGGACGGCAGCGCTTGAGTCCATGGCGGCAGCGCCTGAGACTACGGTGGCGGCGTGTGTGAGGAAGGCGCTGATCTGGTTCGGGGGGTGGTGGAGGGAGGAAGAAGAAGAAGATAAGAGATAAGAGGCCCTCCTCGTTCATCGATTTAAAAAAAAAAAAAAAGAGGGTGGGGCAGGGGCGCTGGAGACTTGGGCGCCAGCGCCCAGGACTGGGTAAAATATTTAGAAACCGCGGCGCCGCCTTAGTCTCTGGTGGCCCCGCCCCAAACTTTATTACAAAACACAATATTTGTGTCAATTCTTTTTAATCTGCAATATTTGTGGCAAATTAAAAAAAACACAATATTTGTGTCATTCCCCCTATAATTGAATGGGCCTGCAATTTGCTCATCAGAAGGCAGCCCGTAAATGGTGACAAAAATATACACCAATACGATTAATTGTGCAAATTCGATTAAATAGGATGAAATCCGAACTAAATGAATTATTCGGGTATGAATAAAACCAAAACTTGAAATTTTTGGGTAATGGATGGATGATTTTCATACTATTCAACCCAAATTCGTCCGAACGCCAATTATAAATACACATGCTTATTTGGTCTTATTCTATCTCTCTCATCATATTCGATATTGTAGTACATATTTAACATTTTAACGAATTCATGTTCTTATTATTGTTTCTTGGAAAAATACACTTGTATAGCCAAAACTTTCACGTTTGTGTCACTTATAGCCACTTTTGGCGAAATACCACTTATAGCCACTTCCGTCCAATTCTTTAACAGTGTTAGTGTTAAGTCTGACTGGACAAACAGAGATGCTGATGTGGTGAGCATTTCTTGCCAAATTTGCTTATGTGGCAATTTTATATAAAAAATGTATTATCTTATGATGAGAAAAACAAAAAATAAATAAAAAACAAAAAAGATTGAAAAAATCAACCTCTCCCTCTCTCTTCTCCACCACCGTCCAACTTCCTCCTTCCTCCTCCTTTTCTTTTCCACGACCATCCCACTTCCTCTTTTCTCCTTCTTTTCTTATCTGATTCTTCTTGTCTGCCTCTATATCATCCTTCCTATCGTTCTCACCTCCATCAAAACACTAAAATTAGAAAGAAAATCCAAACCCAAAATTAACTGAAAACACCAAAAAGGAACACCCACACGACCACAGATCCGCTGGGGCGCCATATACCGCTTCCTCCGCAGGACCTCCACCGCTCCTCTGCTGCTCCAACATCGAACGAAGTAGACGTGTCAACTCAACGACGACTCAGCAATCCAAGCCGCACAACGAAGAACCGCCGAGCAATTGGGTCAGAATCCAAATTCGGATCCTGAGAACGAGAAGAGATGGATGGCGAAGGAATCAGTGTATTCCACATCGTGACCCAGATCGATTCTATTTCAACCAAATCTCATTCCCTTTCTACAAATACCTTCACCAAATAGTTTCCCAATTCACTAATTCACCTCTCTGCTTCTTCAAATTAGCTCACCCGCTCAAATTTTTCTAGATTTGTCCAGGGTATCACCAAGCCGGCGATTCACGGAGCCCTGACGGATTATCTACAATTGATAAATGGCGATGGCGATAGCGATGGGAGGAGAGGACAGATAGAAAAGAAATAGGGTGGCGGCGGTGGATTGCTAGGGCAGAAGAAGAGGTCTGGAAGTAGATAAATTAGGGATATGGAAACAATAATGGGGAGAACGTGTTTTCTCTTTATTTTTTTGTTTTTTGTTTATTGATATTTATTTTTTATTTAATATTAATTAACATAAAACAAATTACACATAAACATTATTAGTTTATGTAGTAATTAAATATTAAATAATTAAAATATATGACGTGTCACTGTTTGCTTATTTGGCGCTGACGTGTCCGCTGATTTGGCGCCTAGTCACCAAACCATTAAAGAAGTTGACGGTGTTAATAACACCGTTAAAGTATCTAACGAAAATGGCTATATTTGGCACACAACATCTTTAAAAAGTGGCTATAAGTGGTATTTCGCCAAATGTGGCTATAAGTGGCACAAACGTGAAAGTTTTGGCTACACAAGTGTATTTTGCCTTGTTTCTTTTAAAGATTGGTGACCTATAGTTATAACTTTGTCACTTGCATAAAGTGAATATACTCGTTCTTGATTGTGAAACCTCCCCTTACCACCCAAGTTAAAGTTTTTTTCTTGAATGATGGTGAGGGGTTATTTGTCAGTCCAAGCTGTAATGGTGTTTAAAAGATTGATTACCAACGACACATGCCTTATTTGCTCAAAAAGGTATGTAAACTGTTGTTCATTCCTTTCTTCTTTGCCGAGTATCCGTGAGTTAAGAGAGCTAGCTAGCCTTGCTTTGCTCAGGGCTCGGTTGTCCACCCTTGACCATGTTGCTCGTTCGAAGGAGTTGTTCTTTTCTTGTCATTTATCAGAAGATGTCATTGATGATGTTATTTTCTTGTGTTGGCAACTTTGGAAATCACGTTATTGGACAGTCCACAAATTAATTCAATATCATGGGATAGCTCTACTTCATCAATATCATGCCCAATCGAAGGAATGACGAGCTGCTTCAACACTAGTGATGCTCGGAGTGACAAAAATCAATCTGGGGGATATGTGGAAATGATACTCAACAACACTATGCAATTTCATGGTGGCTCATGCCTTAGGGGTGCAGGTTTGGTTCGTTTTGACAGGGCATCCCGATCGATCTGCGGTGGTGGAATTGGATTTGCGGATTTTCTGATAATGGGCCAGTACTATTTACTTTCGGCAAACATTACACAGGTATTACTGATCCCTTCTTAATGAAATTATTATTGGCATTATGATTTGCAGTCTCATGGTGTTTAACACATGGTTATACTATTGTGCATTTTTGTAGGGATTGTCAACCTTTGGTTCGGCGAGTTCGAGAGTGGGAGGTAGCTCATAGCTAAGGTGGTGCTCTGCTCAAAGAAGTTCGACATACCATTTCCAAATTTTATTTTTTTCTCTTGTACTTTTACTCCTCACATGTACAATAGTCTTGTCCATTTACTAACTACCATGACTCTTTCATCGACAGTTCGAATCTTTTTCGATCGTCGCGTTTGGTTGTGGGTTGTTCTTTAACTATCTTTCAGAAACTTTATCTATGGAAAAAGTGAATATACAAATAGTAACATATTGGGTGAAATAATGGAGACCAAATATTATTATTTATGAGTACCAAAAACCCAAACGAATATGAGTTTGTTTTATTTACTACACTAATTTTTTGCATGCAAGTGTGGGCCACTGGGCCTCATCCAAATAAAATTAGGATAGGATAACAAATATCCGCTATTTGTTGAATAGTTGCCATCTCTATATTGAACCACTTCATCCAATCATCCTCTCTTACAATCTCCTCTCCTTCTCCAACATGGGTTTTTTGTTCTCTTTATTTTTTTCCGCCACTTTGAGTTGTGGATTCCTTCCTAGCTAGCCTTACGGGGGTGTGGGATAGTGACTACCGGTGTAGTAGGTGTACGGCGGTCACAAGTACCGCATTGTATAAATTACCATGAAGCAGTTCTCTATACACCAAACACGTGAAAATGTATGCTACAAGTAATTGATGATGATTGAATAATCAGACAATTTTCTATATGTAAGTGTCATCAAGTTCCTAACTATTGCAGGGAGTCAGGTCACTTGGGAAAACAATATTGTTTTCTTTTATGAATCAGTATGAGTTTATAATGGTGACACAAATTGGTGTCAACAAATGATTACATTAAATGAGAAGAGGTGAAGAAGGAAAAGATAAGAAAGAGATATAATAGGCCAAAAGTGTAGTAAAACTAGAAATCCAGGTATCGTCTCTCAAAGATTGGTACAACTTTATATTCTATCAATTTTATAGAGCAAACTACAATTAAATCAAATCCTACTGTCGTAGCTCAATGAATTAACTATTTAGTCTGAAAACCGATATCCCAATCAAGATCGCATAGTACCTTATTTATTCCACTTTCGCTTCGATAAGTTACTATGTCGCATGAAATATGTTCAGTTATTAGGGTTTCACTGTCGCTAATAACCTAATTAACTCCAAATCGTTGTATTGGTGGACAGTCAACACAAAGTATTAAGCAATTCCATGCAATAGAAATTGAAAGGAAAGACATACGAATCAATCCATCAAGTCTAGAAATAGCTACATCCTATGGTGTTTCCCCCCAGAAATTGGAGTTTAGTTCATGATAAAATAAGATCAATCAATAAAGTATTGATCATCATGCCCTAAATTAAGGAT